CTGTACGACGCCAAGGCCGGGGTAACGTTCGAATCCTGGTACAAGCGGTACGAGGACCTGTTCACCGTTGACTTGGCTTGCCAGGACGACGCGTGGAACGTCCGCCTGCTTCTGCGCAAACTTGGTACCCTCGAACACCAGCGTTACACCAATTTCATCTTGCCGAGGAACCCACGGGACGTTACCTTTGACGACACGGTCCGAACGTTGTCACAGATTTTTGGCGAGCAGTCCTCCCTGTTCAATGCTCGTTATCAGTGTCTGCAGCTGGTCAAACGTGATGCCGACGACTTCATCACGTACGCGGGCGTGGACAACCGTGAATGCCAACGTTTTCAATTTGGCTCGCTCACCGAGGACCAATTCAAATGCCTGATCTTCGTCCCTGGCCTCCAATCTCCACACGATGCCGATATCCGGACACGCCTCCTGTCCAAGCTACAACAGGATGGGTCAGTCACACTCCAGAACCTGGCCGAGGAGTGTCAAACGCTGCTCAACCTGAAGCACGATTCTGCCATGATCCAGAACGCCGCCGCACCTGGTATGGTCCAGGCAGTCACAGCACCGAGGGCGCAATCGTCCGCGCGCCCCACCCAATCCGATCGAGCGAAGTCCCCACCCTACGCGTGCCGATTCTGTGGTGCCTGGCATTTCCACCGCGACTGCAAGTTCCGCCAGCATCGTTGCCAACGTTGTGGCAGGGTGGGGCACCGGTATGGTTACTGCCATCCTCCATCTCCAAAGGGGGCCAAAACTGGGCTGGCTTCCACCCGCGATCCAAAGCAGAGGTCCCGACCCAGACGCACACCCAAACCTGGTCCGGTTGGCAGCTCCCTGAGCCTCCTGGCCACGTTCCAAATCAACGCTGCGGATCGGAGAAAGTTCGTCGACGTCCTGATCAACGGTTAGTCGGTCCGATTGTAGTTGGACACTGCGTCGGACATCACGATCATCTCCGAGTATCTCTGGCGATCCCTTGGCAAGCCACCTTTCAAACCGACCTCCCAATCTGCCACCAGCGTCTGTGGTGGTCGCGTGCAGCTAACTGGGCAGCTGCACTGCTCCGTCACCTTCCGGGGCGTCACGTTCAACGCGGCCTGTTACATCACAAGGGCGAAGCTCAACGTGCTTGGTCTCGACTGGCTCGAAACCCTTGGCTTGGCCGATCTTCCTCTTCGGACCATCTGCAAAGTGGTACATTCTCCGACGGTACCAAACGATCGAACCGACGACAAAGCCAGTCAATCCGCCCCCGTGTTCCAGCATTCTCAACATGCCTCAAAAATGCAACCACACCAATCACCAGTTCCTTGGCACCCGCCAGCAAAACCGTGGTCTCGAGTGCACATCGATTACGCTGGTCCCATCGATGGCATTTCTTATCTGGTCGTGGTCGACGCCTATTCCAAATGGCCAGAAGTGGTCGCCGTCAATCCACCAACCGCATCCGCTTCTCTGGTTTGTCTCCAACGAATCTTCAGTCAACATGGCCTTCCCGAGGTCTTGGTGTCCGACAATGGTACCCAGTTTACGTCTTCCATCTTCGAAGACTTTTGCCGCCGACACTGCATCGAACACCTCCGCTCACCGCCTTACCATCCCCAATCCAATGGTCAAGCGGAGCGATTTGTCGACACATTCAAGAGGGCGCTTTTGAAATCTCGCGGGGAGGGGACCGTGGATGAGTGTCTTCAAGCCTTCCTGCTCTCGTACCGGTCCACACCGAATCCAGCTACGCCAGGATGCCAGTCACCAGCTGAAGCATTGATGGGCCGCAAGCTACGCACCACAAACGATGCGCTCATTCCGACTGAGAAGCCACCTAGTCACTCTGGTGCCAGCAACAAGCATAAAGAATTCGTCGTTGGAGCCCCGGTCTACGCTCGCGATTATCGAGCCGGTCATCCTCGCTGGATCAAAGCAACAGTGACGGCCAGGCGAGGTGACATGCTGCATGATGTCTCCGTAGGTGATGACACCTGGGTTCGCCATCGCAATCAACTTCGTCCGCGCCACGAAGAAACCTCCATGCCAGCCAGCTATCCCGTGCGCCTGCCGCTGCACATCCTGTTGGATACTTTCGGATTGGCCACACAACGACAGACCACGGTCGAAGCCGCTCAGTCGCCGCCGCATCTCGAGAACCCACCTTGCCGACGAACAGAAAGAATCCGGAGGTCACCGAAATCCCTCCAGGTCAATCCTCGCCAGAAGCGGTACGCTCTCTCTTCAAAGGGAGGTGTTGCGGGCCCGTCAAAAATCCCCGCAAAAAACGCGCCAGTAACTCCGGCATAATGGCTGTGGGAAGCGGAGTCCAATTTCTCCCCACAACGCAGCAGTGTTCAGCCACTCCGAGGCGCGTCCCAACTGCGAACCTTTTGACAATGGTCATTTGCAAACTACCACCTCTGCGTGGTGACTTTTTTCCCTAACTTAATAACCCATAGCACTGGCTGTGATTGCCCTTTGTCGGTCGTAAAAGAGCCTACAGAGGACCACTTGTCTTTTCTTTCTCTTCGCCTCAGTTGGGAGTCGGTCGGGTCGCGTGATTGCGTGTGAATCGTTAGCTGGCCAGCCTTCGCGTCTAAGTCATTAGCGCGCGTCTATCGTACCCCCTCTCGTGTGCGTCCGTTTTCGAGGCCTCAGCGTCTATACGAACAAGTGCGGCTAAGATCGTTCCCACGCTCGTTCAATTTTCCGTCTCACCGGCTAAGCTAGCGTCATCGTAGGCGTGCTCCAACCGTGCGAGCGACAATCTTGTCACGCAATTACCTCAAGAGGCGGCGTTCCCTCAATCATAACAGTGGCGACTCAATTATAACAGCGGTGACGACTAAGGCCATCTGCGCAATTATAACAGATACCTTGTGTCATCATTGGGTCACTGGATTTGTTTCATTTGATTCGTTCACGGAACCTACCCTTCTTTGTTGAGAAAGTGCAATAATTGACATATCGCTGCAGCGTATGTGCCGAACTTATGCCCCGCTTTTACAAGCCATCTGGAACACTCATTAAAGCAACGTACCCTTTAGAAGGTTGAACGTAGATTTTAAGGGTCCTTTACCGTCATCGACTAACAAGTAGTATCTTTTTACCGATGTTGATGAATTTTCGAGATTCCTATTTGCCTTTGCCTGCAGCGACATGACAGCCTCTACAATTGTTAATTGTCTAACCCAACTTTTCTCTGTCTTCGGTATGCCGCTTTACGTTCACTGTGATGGCAGTTCATCATTCATGTCCTAAGAAGTGCGACATTTGCTCATCCAAAACGGCATTGCAGACAGTCGAACGACGCCGTACAACAGACAAGTGGAGCGGATTAATGGCGTCATCTGGAAATCGATCACCCTTACACTTCGATCTATGGGCCTCGCATTGACCCAATGGGAATGCGTTCTGTTAGACTCTTTACACTCAATCCGTTCCCATCTTTGCACCGCCACAAACGCTATTCCTCATGAAAGACTTTTCTCTAACAACCGTTAGTCGATATCTAGAGCCTCACTGCCGAGTTGGTTGAGTAATCCAGGGCCCGTCTTCCTGTGCCGTAGTGTGATCTTCAAAATATGAGCCACTAGTTGATGAGGTCGAGCTATTGGACTGCAATCCCCGGTACGCTCACGTTCGCTTTCCCGACGGAAAGGAAGGCACTGTGTCGCTGCACAACTTGGCACCGTAAATCCACTAACTCTTCTACTTCTCCCACAGATCCCCCCAATGAAACAACTACTCATACGGAAACGGGCACTCACGTACCCCAAATTGTCCACCTTTGTCCACCTAACCCTTCTCATCTTTACGAACAGTAACAGCGAACGCGTGCTTACTGTTTGCGTAACCGCGAGTTATAGAAATGTCCCGCCCCACCATTGTCCACAAACATCATGTCAGGGAGAATGACATAAATTGCGTACATGAAGTTTAACTCAAAATCACTTTTCTGTCGTTATTTATCACAACCTTTCCACACTTTTTTCAGCCTACTTGGTCCGTTTTCTCGCTGAATAAAGCCTATTCATTCGGATTGTACTCATTCTCACTCGGTGTGTTTGTTGTTCGCCAATTCATATAACAGCGCCTTACTAAATCGTTTGCACACTTGCGTCTGAAAGATTCAGTGAGTGGTCCCGCAAAATAAAGGCAACCATAGTTACAAACAAAACGTCTTTAGTGGCTTTCAAAGTAATCACCATTAGCTACAACAAACTTCAGACATCGGTTGGAAGGCTGTTGGAAACTGGCAGCAAGCGCTTATTGTGGAATCGCTAGATGCACTGTGGTCACGCGTTGTTGGATATCCGCAACGTCTGTGAAACATAAGTCTTTCATGGCTAATCTAAGGTGGGTTAACGAAAGGAAGTCTGCTGATGCCAAATCTGAAGAGTAAAGAGGATGTTGAAGAACAGTCACCTTGCGTTGAACGAGAAAGTTGATCACGCGGATCGCAATGTGCGGACGGGCGCTGTCGTAGAGCAAATACCACTGTCCAATCCGGTACAGGAGCCCTTTCGAAATTCCCTCATAAACCGCGTCGACAGTTTGACCATCGGGTAGAAATACTCAAGTTATTCGATTTTGAGGCAGAAATTTCTCGACCCTAATCACAAACACCGAGAACATTCACCGAACTTTTCACACACACTTTTTGTAAGTTTCATCTGAATGTGGACTTTGTAGCGGTTGAGAACACACCACCTTTTATCCTTCTTTTCAGCACTTACGTTACCGACCATTTTGTGCCTGTTTGTGTGGACTAACAAATTTTGGATATAGCTCTTCGAACGCGCCTGCGTCGTGTTGACTTCGTTTGGTGCTGCCTGCGCTTGTGCTATTGCCACTTTTCTCAAGTAGTCGGATACATAGCTTCGAATCACCATTCGACACCTGACAGACGGCATATGTAGAAAGGCTCACAATGCAAGCGTGCCTGATCGTTCTACAACTTGGAGTTTTTGCCTCGGGACTGACACTTGTTACGTAACGGTCCACAACAACTGCAACGTTTGCAGTCGAAGAGAAGTGTAATTTTGCTGTCCGCTAATTGATCTTATGTTTTAGCTTCTCCTGCCTTTTTCCATTTTCTAGATTTCTTCGCTTCTTTCTGTTTGTCTTTTTTAAGCCGATCTGATTCACTGCGTGTGTGCGTCGCGGTCGCTTTCCATGAGGTCCACTGTGATTTCTACCCTGTATTATCCTTTGCATTAGATAACAATCAAGTTTACGGCAATGGCTTTCTTTTGGACTGCCGGATATACACCCTATGTTACGTTCTTAACATACCACTCGCGCCGTTTGTGGGAGTCTTACAATCTGACTTTGGATTGCATGGTTCCCAGTAAACAAATCTGTTGCCTTACACCAAAGTTAGTCGCTTATCGTTATTTTTTAGATATCACGTTTTCTTCCTGAGCATCGATCTCCTATTTGTTCTCTTGTATTTCAGATTGTAATCCGATGACATTCTCGTCGCATTTTTCGCTGAAACGGTGCCACTTCTTTGTGCTAGTTGTTTTGATATTTTCATACGTTTTTCACTTTTCGGGTGATGTTGTTTATGGTCAATCCACCCCACCATCGAACTTCCAGGTATGTCATCTGACATTTTGCTCATCTTGGTCATTTTGTTGAATTTGTTGTCATTCCATTTATTTAAACAGAATGCACCTCGTCAACCCTTTATTACAGAACGCATGATCTGTTGCGTGCGTCTCTGGTACTAGTCGGTAGCGATGACATGTGCCAAATATTGAACATTAGGTAAGGTGGAGACACCTGGACCCAGCGTACATTGAATAATGGGGAGCGAATTAGCAAGAGCGCGGGACGTGCCGTGCGGGACTCACCAGAGCAAAAGTGACAGCGGATTCATGCAGTTGAACAAGCGACAGTCAGGGGTGCAAACAGCAATAAAATCCTGTCTGGAATTCTGAGAGTCTAACAAGGGCCTGCCATGGCCTCACTCTATAAGACTGAGAAATAGAAGCTCTTGATAGAGCTGTCAGAGTAGGAGAGGTGAAGTGAGGATGAGTGCGAATAGTAACGTGGGATTGAACTCGGGGTTCCAAATTTGGATGTGTTGCAGTGTTCTCTGGGTTCAGGTTTCTCTTATTGATCATTTGATTTGCGTGCAAACTGGAGTGCATCATCTGTGGGCTGTCGGGGCGGTTTCTTCGGAGTGCAAAAAACCGGTTAGTCCAGGAAACGTCCGGCAGAACATTTCCTCCGCCGCAGGCTGGATGGTGCGCTTGTGAGATGTCACTCTGCCCAGCTCACGTCCATAATGGTCCTTGTAACACAGCGTCCTCATCAGCACCACATAGCCAAGCATTTGGGACCAATCCAGTTGTAGTCTTTCCCAATCAAGGGCGACTGGCTGTCACTTGTGTAAGGGAGCGACTTTGAGCCGGTTGCCGAGTAACTAATGATTTGCTTTGGCTGTTCTGGTGGTTGACGTTTTAGGTGATAAGACTCAACAAAGCTCCTGGACCCGACAAACTTCCTTCATCTTTAATGAAACGGTGGTGACTGTTGACTGGACTCGCTTCTCTATTTAACACGATTCGGAATGCTGTAGAGGTGCTTTTGGACTGGCGAATTTGAACTGTCGTACCCATCTTCAAAAAGGGTCAGCGCACTTTGTACGAAAATCATCGAGGCATTAACCTAGTTTTCATTGCATCCAAACTTCTCCGATAACTTACTGGTCCCCGTCAGGACCACATCACTGAAAGCCAGTCTGTCTTTCGCCTTGCTCATGGTCGCCTCGACCACATTTACTCTTCACCAAGTGTTAAAGCAGAGCCACACCCAGACGATTGAGTATGATGATTTTCTTTGACTTATAAGTTACCTTCAACTCTGTTTACCGTGCCAACTTGTGGCACTGCTTATCCATGAAGAATGGGGCGGCTAAGTTCCTTCCATTATGCTGTCTCTCTACCGTGACTGCCGAGGTGGCGTGAAGGTCTGCGGAGAACTGTTTCCTGAGTTCACTACTACCAATGGGGCTCCCTAGGGCTGTCCTATATATCCCTTCCTCTTTAACTTTGTGATCGAAAGGATCATGAAGTACTCGGTACTCAGACTCTACCAAAGTGGCAATTATACCAGGTGACCAGCTGAAAAACCTTGAATATGCAAGCGACGTAACTTATTGAATCCAACGCAGTGGCTATGCAAATTCTACTGGAAAGACTGCTGCGTAGCGCTGCACGCTTCGGCATGTGCTTTGCACCTTCAAAGTGCAAAGTAATGCTACGGGATTGGATCGGCACACTTCCGGTTCTAGCTTTCAGCGTACAGCCACTGGAAATGGTGGGTCGGTTCAGTTGCCTTGATAGCTGTGACACCTCTGGTGGTCACATCACTGGGGAGGTCTGTGTGACTTTCCAGAGACTCATCCATCTATGGTGACGGTGGGATATCAGCCTGTGCTTGAAAGGTAGGGTGTGTAACGCTGCGATATGTATGAATTCGAGACCTGGTCAGTTCGTGGCGTAGTCATTAAACGCTTGGCTATGGTTGACCACTGGTGCTTGCGGAGTATTGCTCTGGTCTGGATGGAATATCAATTGAGCAATGCTGAGGTCTGCCACTTGGTTTTCGGCAAGAAGTCTTCTGGTTCCACCATCATGATCATCAGCTACTTGAACTGATGCTTCGCTGCCATGCAACCACGGTGACCGACGGAACGAAGAATAATAAGGGGGAGAGAAGCGGACCTACCGTAAAACCTTAATGCTCTAAACAGACACTTAGGATCAAGGCGCTTACACCTTATCATCAACACACCATCACAAACAATTAGCTATCGTGCAAAGATAAAGCGGCATCGGCGAGACAGCTTCCTTGCAGCTCTCACTTCTCCGCGTCATAATCAGCCATTGACCCGCAGATTACTCAGCACCAGACACACTTCAAACGGGCAGTCCGACTACGAGACGACTAAAGACACGTCAATAGTTTCGACGGCGAGCTATGTCCTGTAACGTCTCAAGCCAAGTACAAGACGGGTCACACTGACTCCAGCCTGTAAAGCTAGATGAATCGACGGCACCGAGTTCAGTCGTCAGTGATTTCATTTCTCGCTGCCAACTTATTTTTGGTCACTTCGGACCTTGCACCACCCAACATCTGGTAAACAAAACGTGGCACTCCTCGATAAGCGGTGACCAGGCTTACGTAGTACGTGCCCAAGCCAATGCAACTTATTCAATGGTGTCTTGTTCTGTGGGACTAGCGTGGTTGTCACTGTTTAGTTCTCGCTTACACACATCATCGTTGTGGACCCGCTGGTGCCATCCAACACCAGAAACGTTTCGCAGACAACGATGATCAAAAATTTGGAGGCGCTGCATGTACTCAGATCGGAGGGGCCAAGTCTCGCTTCTGTAGAGTAGGACGGCCCTTACTATGGCCTTGTAAACACGGTCATTAAAACCGAGGGAAACCCCTTTTGACGCCACAAATGTCGCAGGTTCAAGAGGGCAGTTCTGGTTTTTGCAATACGTGAACTGACTTCAGTCGCTGTGCATCTGTCGTTGCTGATGCAGTTGCCAATTAAGTTAAGTGATCAACCACCTCGAGCTTTTCGTTATGGAGGGTCAAGGGGTCATCATGCAGCTGTTGTTCCTTGTCACCAATGTCTAAGAAAGTTTGTTTTCTTTACTCAACTCTATTGTAACCTAGTTTTCCTGCATGACATTTTTTCATTTGCTGCTGTATACTTGCCACTTGAGTACGTTCAAGCATCGCAGGCATATCGACCGTTAATCATCTTCCGCTTTTTGCATGACGATCTTCGTTTTAAATCCTAACACAGAGGATCCTATTTGTTTACCTTTTACCCAGCGTTATGTAATGCCGTATGGTACGGACAATGAGTCCCAGGGAACCCGATGTTAGCGAAGTGGTATGTGACGAGAATGGACAACCAATCCACAACTTGTCAAACGCTTGGAGCGTTAGGTTGAACACTTGGATAAATAATTTACTCAGCCGAAACCACGAGATTCGCTCCCGGCCAGTGATCACTTTATTCCCTAGGCTGTCCCTTTGTATCCATCTCGGGAGCGACATCCGCTGGATGAACTTGGATAATACTGCAAAGTTAGTTGGACTTGTCTTAGCCCTCTTCAAATCCGGGAGACCAGGTTTAGCGGACGATTGACACGACCTATTAATGAAACTAGTAATAGAAAACTCTGAACCATTTGGGGCTGTGCGGTTATATTACCCACTTCAAAGAATGGCTCTCATTTGGGACGGGGCACAAATAAGTCTGCATAGCTTCCAAGTTGCTTGCCTCTACCGTTCTTCATAGACTGATTGGTACCAGTGAGAGATTCCTGAAGCACAAGCAAGCTTACGTTGAAATCGAGACTGCATTGGCCTCATCTCTCTTGACATCAGTTATTATATCACCGTCGGGTTTATTGGCGACGGGCGCTAATCGTCCCCATCGATATCAAAGGGCCTTCGATTCGGTAGATCGGTGTGCCTCTTTGGACTGTCTGCTTAGAGATGATATGCCCGAGAAGTACGTAAATATTATTAGACCGTTTTCCACACAAGTTTTGGCTGGGTGAAGGCTTTTGGCAAGCTATCAATGTTCTTTGTTATATTCTGCGGCATGAACCAAGGAGGCCGGCACCGTCCTAACCCTACATTTTAGCTGGAGATGTAAAATAATTCGGCATACAATGCAGTAATATATTCGAAAAAGAATGCACGAACTAATTAACGGTACAAAGTACAGGTTAGCGAAGAGTACTATGCTTATTATTCTAATGCATCGACATTCAGATCGTGGTTGGAGGGAGCATTTAAGCAGGCTGCAAATGGACAAAGAAACTCACAGCGCAAGCGCCGCTGAGCTTTTACTCTTCACTATGTCAACAAGTATCTCCAATCAGACGTGTTCATTGTCTTTCGGACAATAGCCAGGAAGCCGTGAGGCTGCAACCGTGGCTAAATTCGAAGTGAGGGCCTTCATTCCTCTTACTCAAGCCATCCGTCGGTCTTCATTCCTCTTTTCCCATCCACACTCCGCGCAAGATGGGCATCCTTGAAGTCAGTATGGTAACGCGCACAACACGTGACCATGTTATCCGCGCCTGTTACGTGATACAACAGCTGCACCTATGGAACAGAAAATGATGCAACAAAATGTATAGCAAAATCTCGGGGCACCTTGGCTCAAATTCGAGGTTTATGGAGTCGGCTTGATTTCACTCTCGTTCTGAAAATTAATCAACAGTGCAGCCCTCTTTTCAACCCTACGGTACGGTTGTGGCATGACCTATCAGGACGACATACATGAAGAGTTAGTTACGTTCTATATCGTTGCTTTCGCAGTTTGGCTGATCTCTGGTTGAAACACCGCGTTATCAATGAGCGTGTTTGGCGTTGTTTATTTGTTGCAGAAATAGCGAGTAAGCCACCTAGCATCATTGTATCACGCACTAGGCTCCGATGGCTTGACCACATGTTGCGCATGCCAGCACACCGCATTCCGCAACGCGCATATTTTGCGCACCGGGTGTTGTGGATGGAAGAAGAGGTGAGACCAGCTGACGGCTTGTTCAAGATGAACGAAGGCTCTCACCACCAATTTGGCTTCGGTTGATGTCTCCCGACTCCAGGGTTATGGTTTTAAGGATGAGAGACTCATTTGATTGGCGACACTTGTTGACGCAGCATAGTTTAGATCTGAGTGCGCTTGCAGGTGAGTTTCTACACCCCTTCACGTTCCACAGGACATCCATTTCCCTCCCCCATTGTTTGCAAGCTGCTAATGTCCATCATATTTCGCTGGCTCTCCCCAACACACGAATCGTTGCAGCGAGAAGAACAATCTGGATTTCGCCGTGGTCGCGGCTGCATCGATCGAATCTTCACACTCCACCAGATCCTCGAACTCCGCCATGTGTATCGGAGGCCAACGATTGCTGTATTCTTGCATATCCGTGCAGCCTCCGATTCTGTCGATCGGACGGTACGGTGGCACTGCCTACTGATGAACAACGCCCCCGAGAAGTTCGTCTCCATACTGCGCGCTCTATATGGTCTGACTTCGGTCAGCGTTAAGACTTATGACAAGCTTTCGTCTTCCTTTGTGGTCTCCAGTGAAGTTCGGCAAGGATGCCTTATCTCTCCCTTCCTATTCAACGTTGCCATTGAGGATGTCCTAAAGAACGCTCTGGGCGATTTGTTGAACGCTGGCGTTGAGCTCCTCCCAGGTAGTCGAGTTGTTGATTTGAATTATGCTGATGATATCGTCTTGCTGAGTAACGGTTCACACGTCGTCCAACTTGCACTATACCGCTTGTCGACTGAAGCATCGAAGTCTGGTATGTACTTTTCGCCATCCAAATGCAAGGCTCTCTTTCAAGACTGGCAGGTGGCTGCGCCTGCACTCACTTGGCGGTGAGACACTAGAGATTATGGAGAGCTTTGTCTACTTGCGCAGTTGTACACTGCTGGTGGGGCTGTTGGAGACGCCATTTCGATGCGCATTTCAAGAGCACACCTCGCTTTTTCTAAGCTGAGGTACTTGTGAGGTCGCCACGACATTCTTCTCTCCATCAAAAGGCGGGTCTATTGTGCAACTATTCGTGCTGTACTGTTGTACGGATACGAGACCTGGCCCATTCGTAAAGATGACTTGCGCAGGCTATCCGTCTTCGAGCACCTCTGTCTGCGGTCCATTGCCCGTGCGTGGTGGCTGGACCACATAACCAGTGTGGAAGTTAGACAGTGTGTCTTTGGACGAGTAAGCCACTCGCTCGAGGAGCTCGTCTCAATGCATCAACTGTGGTGGCTGGGACACGTATTGCGTATGCCTGTCCAGCGTCACCTGCGTCGTGCGTTATTTGCGGTTGTTTGACAGGGCTGGAAGAGACGGTCTGGTGGACAGCCTACAACTTGGAGAAGCCGCATGGAAAAGCTAAAGAAACAGTTGGCCTCGGCCGGTTGTTGTCGACTACCTGGTTGGGGTCCGAGAGATGAGGATACTTGCTGGTTGAAGATCTTGGAAACCCTGGCTCAAGATCGATGTCATTGGCGGACATGTGCATCGGTGTGTTGCGGTGTCCCTCCCTCCCTCTACAAAAACAAACTGAAAAAATATTTCAAAAACTGTGAGTGGCAAACTGGACAAAAAAGCCTTCGTTGTTGTTGCTATTTTCTTATTATTCCTACTGTTCTCCTATTTAGCCATGATTCCGATGGCATAATATCTGTCATATATATATATATATATATATATATATATATATATATATATATAGAGGTGCATATTGAAGACAGTGCCTAAATTCATACTGCGTTTTTAGTTTTATTTACTTTTTCATTGTCACCATATAATCTGTGATCTGCGACACAATGGTTGAGCTTTTTATCGGCCCCATCCAACTTGTTGCATAATAATACTAATGTGCCAGCTGCACGCCGTAACGACGCTCCGCTGCCGCGCGACCACCACCAGTCGTGCGCGGACTGAGTATACCGCGAGGACGCCCACCCCTACGCGGATTCGAACCGGTGACCTTATGGTTGCAAACCAGGTACGCAGACCACTCGGCCACCGGCCGACTTGTTGCATAATGATGACAAATATACATTAACACGCCTGCTTCTACTTGTATTGTTTATTGACGGTGCGCCCTAGAGTGGTCATTCGATTGCATAGCTAAAGGCACCGGTGTTACTCCTCTAGGTTTCGGTTTTCTTGATTGTTGACTTCTAACTCTACGTCACAAGCGTTGAAATGTTTTCCAGCACGGCTCTTTTACCGTATCTGTATCGTTTTTGCACTAATTTCCACTTTTTCTAAGGCTTACTTTTTTACCTTGGTATTCTTTGTTGTTGGTATTACTTTTTGTTCACAGTTTTCCGTGGTGTATCTCTTTCACTAAAATGGGAAGCAACTCTGTTAACATGAGATTATCCTCGTATAGAGTTTAGGATTCCGTGAATTAGTTAGGTGGAGAAGATTTCACTTCTCATCCTCATATTCACTTCTTTTGGTCTAATCCCGATTACATGTCCTCGGTATCAGCCGGAACAATATAACCGGAGTGGTACAATTGGACGTACTTTTCGTTTTGATAATGTATATAACGAAATGGTGGGCAGGCCAGTTATAATACATGCAAGGAGTCCAGTTATCTTACCGGATGAGCTCATGTTCAAAACAAGTCTTAAATGCAACTTGTATGTGAGATAATTCCCGATTAGGGTACTCGTGGGGAGGTAAACGTTGCTGGTACTCAACAGAAGTCAGTTAACAGCTGAGAAGGTCCGCTACCTCATTGAAACGATCTGCATTGTTGACTTGTACAGCGTATACCAGCATTTGAGAGAGGGAGGTGAGCGAATGACCGTTGTGATTTACATAGATTGTTGTGGGAAGGAGGTGAAAGAATCGTGTTTAACAGCTGGCGACGCGAGCTTCAACGGCTGAGTCCGTCTTCTTTGGTACGTAGTTTATTTAATTGCTAATGTCTATCCCTGGTGTACTGAAGTAAATAAGTTTGATTAGTGATTGCAGCTTCTCAGTACTGTACCTCTGCCTACTCGTTCTCACACCTTGTCTGCTAGTCGCCTCCTCGTTTCACTTAACTTACTTGCGTGTAAACAAGCAGTTCGATTTACGGGCATATGACATGACGAATGGGCTCTTCCTCCTGGATGTAATCCCGTGTCATGACGGACGTCTCGAAACCATGCCACCTTCTTAGGTTGCCATCTCCGATTATATTGGAATATGGTTTCAGACCATAATCACAAGTGTTCGGCGAAGCGCGCTTATTTCATATAATTCTCAGCACCTCCCATGTTGTGTTTGAGAGCAGTTTCACACAGCGTGTGGTCACCTGATGTGTACATAGGCTTGCGGTGAACAATCCACAACCGTGGAATTTGGTCCGCGAGCATAGATGCAACACTCATTGGCTTGAATTGTCATCCAGTTCCCTCGTTTACATTTTTTCGTTTTCTTTTTTTGACCATGGATTCTCAGGACTCCACTCTCGCTCTCCTCTCAAATTCGTCTAATGGGACCTCAAATACACCCCCAAGCCATACGGAGGGTAAGATTATCTGTATGTCTTTGCAGTTTCATCTGCTATCTCTGCGTAATTTGCTCTGCGGTAACGATTACTCATGGTATTGTCATTAACAGTACATTTGTTCACTTATCTAGATTTGCATTGTCTTTTGTTCTCACAGCTGACATGTAATGTTATGAAGGAAATTTTCGGGTGACTTGGCCCATCGGGTTGAGCCCTTGGGAGTCAGCTGACTTCGTGTTTTGATGACCTATCGGACATGGCCCAGTCGCAGTCAACCGGTGTGGCATTCAGCCTCTGGTATCTGCCTATTAACTTTCCATTCCGTATAATCCATTCTCACTTGTTTCTTTACCCCATCTTCCTTTTACTCCACGTTTCAGCTTACCTTCCAACGATGCTTTTATAAATTAGAACATTAAATAACTATGTGATCACCAGACTGTTTGAGACACGGGTCAGCAGTTGCGAGCCTATCATAACATACACGTTTGTTTTACTGTATCGTTGACGGCATCCGGTTCCGAATTTAGCTGTCACTGTGGCTTTCATAGTACAGCCACAAAACGCCTGTGCCTACAGCGGGACCATGGGTGGATTGCGCAGCACCACCCACAGCTCCATCAATACACTCCGTATCCAGCGTAAACCCGAAGGAATATGACTGGAAGGCAAACGGGTGGGAGCTAGGTTTCATCCATAGAGTCGGCCCACACTCCTTCAATAGACAAAGCAGAACATTCATGCTTACTTGGAAAATCATGCGTATCAGACGCATACAAGTTGGTCGCTGGGCCGTAGCCCGATCCACACTGGATGCATGGAAACACTCGTTGAACCTAGAACCGTCACGTGGGCTGTGCATCCCGTCCCCTCCAGCAACGATCAGCTGTCTCCTGGAGCTAGTATAGTTATAGTGGCGAATAATAAACAGGTGGGCACCTTGTCAACATTCACGTCAAGCGCAGCTACACTGGGGATATCAGTCAGCAAGCAACTCCTGAAATGCAAGAAACTCAACACAGGCACACGTACTGACCAACTGCAACGACGATGCGACACACGTACCACATGAGGCGGCCTCCCTACTTGCTTATAAACGATTTTAACTACCCTCGAGTACTGTGGCCTGATGTTCAACTCCCCTGGCACTGAAATTGAGGCGCAATTTACAGTGATGATACTTAAGACGGTGGCAGCACAATATGTCTGCCAAGCCCCGCGCGTTACATCGCATTCCGCTCCATCATGCCTGGACCTACTACTAAGGAGTTGGGAGCAACATGTACATAAAATTCAGGTCCTAGAGCCTCTGGCAGCTAGTGACCTCTCGATGGTCTTAGCCAGCCTTGAGCTGCCGCTGCTCTACTCGCGTCTACTGGAGCCGTCCTACAATTACTGGGAGACCGACTTCGATGGTTTCAGTTGAACCGCCAGTGAAGTGGACTGGTCGCTATCGCAGGATTCATCTGTTGAAACCTGATGGTCTGTTATAAAAGTGGGTGTGCAGTCATTGTGCACTCGTTTCGTACCCTCCAAAATATAGGAAAGCTGGACCAATGAAGCCACATTGGTTCTGAAACTGACTGTATTCAAGAGAAAGTAGAAGTTATTTACCACTCTATCCATTTTAAAAATTAAAAAACCTAATTGCGGATTGTCAATGACAGTGTTTAGTCAGCTAATCGTTTATCCTTGTTCGGTTAAGCGTTCGCATTGGTGTTATTGTTTCCGTGTATAGGATCTATTTTTGCATTTTATGTGCATCGTTTCACAAAAGCACATGTTTCCGAAAATATCATCGATACGTGTTTTGAAACACTTCTCAGATGCGGCCTGTATTAGTCTTTCTTATAATGCATTCCGCAAGTTCACGATTCTTCATTCTGTTCAAGGTTGATGTGACCCTGCTTGTGACTCTGAATTTCTAACCGCTTCATCGGGTGTTACAGGGTTCCTGCAGCTGAAATATTGGCCGCAGTATGGGGAAGTGATTAAGATGTAGTCTTCCATGGGTCATAATAAGGTCAATTGCTACTCAGCAGTAAGACGTTGTCTAGCATCCGAGACTTTCACATCATTTTTCATACGGAATCTTTCGTAGACTGGGAATCATTCTAGTTGCGTTGTGCTGTATTTTCTCCAGCTTTTCCGTGTCCCACTGGGTTATTGGGTAGTTAGCTGGGACGCCGTATTCAAGGATTTGTCTGATGAGCGCGGCGAATAGGCGAGGTACGGTTTCTTCGGACCATGTGGAGAAACTGCCTCGTAATGCCCAGAGCATACGAAGTCCCGCACGGTACAATTTCTCTGTATTTTCTAGTGATCTGTCATGTGACGAGAGCACTCCCAGGTCTCTGAAAAATGTGTTAGGGTGAAGCAGCTGGCCGTCCCAGGTGTATGGTCGAGTGGTTGCACATCTGGTGATACTGATGAACTCCGACTTGCTCGCTTTAAGTGGGAGTTGCATCTCAGTGAACCACGTTGACAGTGGATCTCTGTCATGCTTGAGGCGAGCGCAATCGTCCTGGTTCTCAGTGATCCTCCAGTTTTTCAAATCATCTGCGAATAGGACACATGGTGTCTGGAGCTGCTGCAGAAGATCGTTGATATGAATAAGAAATAACACTGGCCCAAGTACAGTTCCCTGATGCACCCCACTGGTTTATGGGAACCAGTCTGTCAGGTAGTCTTAACCGGTACCCTCCACTTCCGTCCCTCAACAAACTCGTTTAACCACTAAAGTAACGTCCCACCTATTCTGTAGGTCCTCAGTTTACGAAGGAGTATGTCCTGGTTCACTCTGTCAAATGCCTTAATAAAGTTGATGTACATCACGTCAACATCCTTCCGTTCGTTGAGAGTTCATACCCGCTGGAGGTTTGCATACATTAAGCTGTTCATACGGGATCACGCTTTCGTGAAGCCGTGTGGCGCTGGCGTCAATACGTCCATCGATTCGAAAAACAATAGCAGACACTTTTTCACAACTTTCTCGAGAATTTTGGACAATATCGAAGTCAAACAGTTCGGTGTCAGGGTTGGGATGAGTAACATCGAACTACTTCCATTTCGGTCTGTAGTTCTCTCCCTTAGGAAGTGGTCTCACTGTTACACATTTTCAGTCGCTGGGGACGGATCCTTCAGAGATTTCTTCAATAGACTTCTCACGACTGATGAGACAACATTCGATAGGGAACTAAATATTAGTGGATGAAGTCCGTCAAGTCCGGGGCGCTTTATACCATCGAGGTTGACGAATAGCTGACATACTACGTCTGCATCACATTGTAGGTTGTCAAGTAAGAATGGCCCAACCTGTGCCGCTACTAGAACAGCCACCGGTTTATTGGAAAATGCGGTGAGGAAATGCGAAGCCAAAGCGTCCGCGTGCTCCGCGCTTGAAATTAGCGACTGTCCGTCCAAACTCTCTAAGACCGGTAAGTCGCCGCAGGTTTCAGTTGACGTTTCAAGTATTCTTTTGGCGGGGCGGTTGTGGTCGAGACTGCTGGCTTCTCTTCGAAATGCAGGCCTTTCTTAATCCTCGCGGCGTTGCATAAGTTCCACTGTTTCTTGTACGCCGTGCAATCTTCATCACAGCCCGAGATGCTTTATCCATCCCAAAGTTTGCGACGCTTTCGCGCTAACTATTTATATTTCTTATCAAACCAATGCGGTTTGACAGGTCCGACTTTTGATTACTTAAAGGGAACGAACCGAGTACACAACGAGTTAAGCTTTCCCTTCATTAATGACCAACAGGCCTCAAGCGGTGCATTCTGTGGTAGTGTCCAATTAGTCTGACCTGCGGTTTGGGCGAGCCCGTTGAAGTTCGTCTTCCAATAGTTGAACGTCGGCCTCCCATGGTTGTAATACGGAAACGACAATTCTATGCTTGCCACAATGGAGCAGTGATCACTGTTCGCTAGAGGTTCGAGAACTCTGACCTCTCAGATTCTGATCACAGATCGTAAAGAAGATACCGAGTGCGGAGTTATGCGCGTCGGTTGGACGACATATTGCGTTGCCCCGATTTCAGTAGTCATTTTAGCGGATTGAGCCTGAACGTCGCCATGACTGGGAAGAAGCCGAACGCACAGCCACGATATTCTAGGTACATTTAATTCCTTCCTTAGTAGAAATCGTGGGCGGCTCATGTGTTTCTTTACCTGTGGTAGCCAATTGCAAATACGGTTTAATGAGTTACGGTAGATAACACTCACTATTAGTACTGCGCCTCGGAAGCGAATCGAGCACCACAGTTACTCGCATAGGTTGTCCTCCTTCCGATATATGCTGATCAGTTTGCCAGATCATGACGATTTGATGTACAATAGAACACCACCATGAACCTTTGATTTTCCATCACATCGGAAACAAGAGTATCCTGACAAGGCGACTTCCTGGTGTATGACGTTGGAACTCAACAAAGTATCTGCAAGTTCTAAGACGTCTGGTCGATCCGAGACAGTGAGGCGGCACAGTTCGTCACGTTTGTTCATTAGGCTGAGGACGTCGGTGAATGCCACGCGAAGATCCTGGGAGGTACCGCGGGACGTGTCTGAAGCTTGAGGAACCTATCGACACGGGTTCGTACACCCACCTTGATCACCCGACAATTTACAAAATATGAGTCAGTCTCACCTTCTGTACGGCGTTTGAGCTCAAGGACCACAGTCTTCAAACATTTCCTGTCGTTGGGTCCTATGTCTCGGCGGATGTGAACTTTTATGCCTTTCGGCCTTGACAGACGAGACAGTATGATCTGCGGCATGTGATTTGCAATGTGATTCACAGAGGTCGATATGATTGGTTAATTTGCTTTCTACGTCGGACTACGAGTTTAATCGTCACCCTGTCTTCACTCAACTCCTAGAGTCTATTAATGAGTTCCTGGAGGAACTCAACATCATGTTCATAACATATCTGAGGGTTTTCATCTTTTGACTCCGGTGCGTGCAAGACCATGAGCTTATGGCGCTTCAGGGAAATCGGTGATTTACCTGTGCGAGCAGGACTAG